TTCTCTCTCTCTCTCTCTCTCTCTCTCTCTCTCTCTCTCTCTCTCTCTCTCTCTCAATACTTTTTTTTTTTTTCCTCCAAGTTCGTCCACACCGATCCCCCATATATTGAGGAATATCCCTCTAACGGGCAACTACAGCCAGACCCTCCATTGTTCGATCCAGCCGTGTTCAAATTTCCTAGCATTATTTATCGTCGGAGCCTTTCGACTCAATTGTACAAAACGCTTTTGATTTATATTTATCGTATTGCTTTTTAATTAGCGCACTTCCAGCATCCCAACGAGGAGCTTACGGGGAGGAGCTTTGGTTCTATCCCTTATGTGCATTGGACTTAACCAAAATTTTATGCGGATGGGCAAACTATGTATTTTGAAAAAGTTGTGCAGGAGGGGCGGACTGCCAATAACATTTGGCTGAGCTAATAAAATTTGGGTAATTTTTCGATTGAAAATTTTGTATTCAAGTATATATATATATACATATATATATAGTTGCCGGACACTCGATTCTCTTTGATCCGTGTCGTAATTAAATGCTAATAAATCCACCTGACTAATCTGATAATTACGTTACAATCACAGTGCCCTTTCGCGTTCGCGTTATCTGTAATGTCAGGGCGTGTTGAACGTTATCAATTCCATATGAAATTATCGTACTCGCACTTTGAACCCTTTTTTTTTTTATTTTGTGCTTCGATGTCCAGACACGGCATTTGCTCGTTTCACGTTCTCAACGATCGTTCTGCTTGTTTGTCTTTTATGGATTAATGAATTTCTTCTTTATGCTTATTTAACGCTTTGCCGGAAAGATTAAGGGGATTTTCGAATCGGGATTTTACCTTTCAGCGTGCTCTCGACTATGGAATTTATTGGAGATTCGAAACTACTTGTTGCTTCTTGGTTCTTGGAATTAGGACGAAATTTGGATTTTTAATGTTTTGGGAGAATTGTCTTTTTTTTACAATTACAATTCTTGTATTATTTATTTAAACATGGCACATTTTATCCTTCGATACAAATTTGTTATCCGGATGATTCTTTTTTACAAGTTGCTGCTTCATTTTTTCTTATCGAGTTGGGTGAGATTTTTATTGGCTGTTCGTTTTTGATATATAGGTTACATTGTTGATTTAAAATCGTCTATAATGCTCTGTCAGGTATATATGCATCAATTCGTACATATATGCTTGATGAAATAACGGGCAGGTATAGATACCAGTCTGGTAATAAATTGCACGTGTTACATGAAGCGCGAGTCTTGGCCAAATTGATGTTTCGGTATGTAGCTCAAAGAGCAAGTGGTAAATTGAAAAGTTTTTTCTTTTTTTTTTTTCGCTCTGTTTTACTTATTAAACAATATTTTTGTTCAAATAACATTTTGACAGACCACAAATTTCTAATCGAACGTGAAACCTATGTGAATCTGGCAGCCGATTTAAAAATATTTTAATTTTCCTTTATACCTCAAGAGGTATGGAGATACAGGATTTTTTTCAAAATTCGCTAAAAACTGTCATTTTTTGAGCTGGCTCAAATCTGCAAATTGGAACTGATTCCGAATCGTCTGTACCATTCTTCATTTCGTTTGTACCCCAAGAGGTGGAACTAGAAGCAAACCGTAGCTACATCCTGAAGATCGATCTGGAGGAATATGGGTTAGTTACTCGGCACTCCTTCGTCACGCCCAACGTCACGCAGGCAAACATCAATTTCCGGTTAAGTAATTTCGCGTAACGACTCGGAATGCAGGAGTTCAAAATGTTCAAAATGTTGGAGATACAAAAAATTCTGTCATATAGATCAACTTTACTAAGGATTGGAAAATGGGTCTTCTTGATTTGATTAATGAAATTATATTTTATTTTTTATAAGGTTTTTTTTACAAGTTTATGAATTATTTTATGTCCGATTCATGTTTTATTACGTATTTGACTTGAGGCATGTGGCTCACTCGGATTTTTGGATCCAAATATATCTGTATCTTTCTCGACCCAATTACTTTGGTTGGGATGCTGTGGACGTATCCGGATTGATGGAAGATACAGTATTAACAAAAGTTTCATTAATGGTCTTTCGGTTCTTCGCAACGGACTCTTTTTCTAATTTTACGGTCGGTCCTGTATTTTGCTTTTCACTGTTTTTCACCTACTTCACCGGATTCGCTTGTAATTTCTTGGCTAATTAGGACACTGTAATGGGAATTCAGATACAGGCTTGGAATTTCACTGCCCACCAGATTCATTCACTCTGCTTTCTCGCTACATTTATAACTTTTATTTGCTTATTTCTTCAATCGCTTTTTTTTACTTTCTCAACTTTCTCTACTTCTCATGGGAATTTACTTTTCACACATTTCTTATTTTTCAATCAATCTACCATTAAACACGTGACATTGTATTATTACTTTCTTCAGATGACTGAGCGTCTCAGATTCAATTGACATTTTTTTGTTTTTTTTTTCCAAAATTGAAATGCTTCACGTTACTATTGTCAAATATTGAGTGTTGATTTAAAAAAAAAAAAATTATTTTTCTTTCTGCTTTTAGAGATGACATTTATATCCAGTCTAACGATTTATGATTCAGTTGAAAACTTGTTTTTTTTTTTTAACTTTGGAACCACTGATTTGAAATTTTTTTCCATTTTTATGGAATCGTCAAACGTAATGAGCTCAACGGTATTACTGTTCGTTTTACTTCCCTTTTCTTTTTTGCTTATGAATATCGGGTCTATATCGAGAATTCTCTTTCCCTCTTCCGAAAAGACTCGAAGATCTTCGCTCATTAATAATTTAATTTTAATTGGCTCTGTATCTAGTGCCGTGTTCGTTATATGCAATATATAAATAAAATTTGGATTCCATGAATAATAATCGAAGCGACCGATTGTATTATAAAATTCTATAGATATAAGTAATAAAGAAAAAAGTACTTGTTACCTAATTTCCATCTAACAATACCCCAAGGGTCTTCACCAAGTTTGTTAATATGTTTCAGATTATTCGGGCTCTCTCGTGGCATCGAACCAGCAATAGCTACGCTCGGGGGGTGAGAAAAGGTGAGGAAAATGGAAAATTGAGAAAACTTACTTGAAAACGTTTAGCGCTTTATACATGAAAAAGATACATGTATATACACAAGAGGCATATAGGCATCACCAGGGAATTTCAGGCAGCCATTTGGAAATTACAATATACATGTAAAACAGCCAGCAGGAAAACTTGGTCCTTACCCGGAACGCAGTTTCCGGCCGGGGATAAAGAAAGTTTAAACTTTTATTTGAGAAGCGATAACACCCATTAGTCCTCCGCGAACATTGCCACCTGCACCAAGTGATTTGTACGTGGAAAAAAAAAAGTTTGGCGAAACACATAAAATTTGAGATTTTTACCTGAAAAAGAAATTTTTAGAACATTTTTGGTCGAAAATTTTCTTTTTCCCCTTCGTGTCTTTAATTATTCTGTAATGTATTGTATATATGTCGTATCTCCATAATCCCTGCAGCGACTGGCAAGCGTCAAACGTAACTTGACGTCTCTGAAGTGCAGGGTAGAGGCTAACGCCAGAGTCCAGGAGAGCTGTGACTCAATCTCTTTTAATGAAACACTTGATTTACAGAATGAAAAGCCACTAGGGCCGTCAAGCACTTGGGAGACCAGGAGATTTCAATGGCAGGTTGCCTGTAAGGACTCATGGCCCAAGGGGGTGCCCCGTTTTAATTGCTATGCCCGTAGGTACGGCGCCAAGGGTTAAAGAGGGGGAAGGGTTGCTTTAAGCACTTTTAAGGGTGACAGCCTGTAGGAAGTCAACTCCATAACAGCTGACGAATATTTCTTTCTTAGCCGACAATTAAAATTCTTAGATTCAACAATAAAAATTATATCGCACCGTTAATACTTTATTACGTCAAACGTACAGTATAATTCCGTCGCTTTTGAGATTCGGAAATATCCGATAATTTTAGATGGTCTCAAAATTTATTTTTATCGTTGTGCAATTTACATGGGATTACATCACTTGCATATTGTGATCTAGAAATATTAAAAAAAAAAAAACTGGCAGCGGTGGGATTCGAACCCACGCCTCCGAGGAGACTGGTGCCTTAAACCAGCGCCTTAGACCGCTCGGCCACGCTACCGTATGTTCTCGATAGAATAAGAGTCGTTCAAGATCAGAATAATGTGCCAGTAATATATCACATAAAATAGAACTGTGTCAGAAAGGCTATTTTCAACGTAAACAATATACACCGAGACAAATGGATATATACTCGACTGCCATGGATAATACAGATCAGAACAATCTAGAAAGACTATTGACAGCATATCGGTGCCTCCAGGGAGATGCTAAATATATGGACGAGTTAAGGCGCTGAGCTCGATTAAAACTAGAAATGGAAATATAACAGCTTCAACAAAGATGTGTAAACACTCATTTTTTATCGATTAGAATAAAAATAAATTCACCTTTTTAAAACGAAAATCAAAACCCCCATACGTTCTCGAGAGACTATCCGGGTAAACGCAGCCGTTACTGTTATATAATTTTAAAGGGATTGAAGTAATTGAAGTAATTAAAATACGGCATTATCCCTTTGCAGCACGCGCGTGCTATGTCCAGGAGTGAACGGTAAGCTATCAGCATGAGTCAGGATAAAACAGAAGCCATCCAATCTATTCACATCGCATTTACATTTCCCACCACGTACAGCCATATACATATATGGATCGTGTAGACTGGTGCAGTACTACCTGCATTGCTGCCGTTTAAATGGCTTGCAAGATCACAAGGCTAATGCAGGCATCGTAGTTAAACGCGAACGAAATGCACGTGACATTAAAAGAGTCTCTGTCGTTAATCTTTGACGCCTTCCTCAATCGATTCTGTTTACTGTGGATTAAACCCCTAAATGTTACATATATATATATGGGGACATATAAAACACATCTATAGTCTCTTCTGTCATATATCTACATATAGATTTTCTTTTCCTTTTACTTTTATTTAACCGCACACTTCAGAGATCAGTTCCCAAGTCTCCCGCTTGGCGCTGATCCAACTGAAAGATATACGACGTCTGCACCGACGTTAAGCACCGTCGCCGTAAAACCTACGATTGATCTTGGCCACTCGGACTGATTCAAATTAGCCGCAGGACTCTTACGTAAGTGACGGAAAGAGATTACGCGTCCCTTTGTTATTTTTATAGGAAAACTTGAAATTTTAATCTGCGTTTGAATCGACGCGGTACGCGCAATGGAGGTCAAGGGTTAGAGACCTAGTGGGTCACGTGACTACTCGGTATGATTTAAATGACATTTTTGTCTCTTTTTTCCTTTACTTAATTAATTTTACAGCACACAGCTCTCTTCGTCGGATTAGCTTGGCTTTAGTCGAGAGCCTTTCAAAGATACGAGTGGCATAATCGATCGGCATAAATACCCCTTACCAATGGGATTACACCCGCGCTCTGAAAACCCTTAATATTCAAGAATTATTATCACCCTATGTACCAGCCGAGAGGCATTCCGTTGTTATGGTAATTGTAGATTTAATTAATCCACGGTTAAAGGTCGCTTACCAAAGTGGCGAACACGTCGAATACCCTCGCCGTATTGAAGCGTCTCTATTCGTTGTGGAGACGATGAATTTTCGAGTTCTCGTATACCTGCCGTTGGTGCGAGAGAGAGGGAGTCATGGGGATTCTCGTGGGTCAGAGAAGGACGGAGATGCCTTTTTTTTTCCTCCCCCATAAAGTCGTCTTTATAACCCCCGAATCTACTTTGTCAAATTGTTCGTGGTTTACTGACCATCATTATTTCATACCCAATATCCCATATTATCATTTATTCCGAAACGTCGCTTCATCTCGATCGATTGGAGATCTGTGAAAATATATATCTTATGGTTCTTATAGGGAAATTTACTACGTGCCGGGTACCCGTACAACGAGGTGGAAAAGTTCTGACCGAGTTTTCACGTATTGTCGATAAACGAGTTAACGATAGCGTGGATCTTGTACCAAATTAGAGTCTATGAATATTCAATGTCAAGAGCGTCTCCACCTCGGCGAAGCTGAGGCGTGAAAAGTTCGTTTACTTAATATTAATGGCCGTCCACACTGATTTCCCGACACTCGAGACTCACTTTCGCGTTATTATAAATTCCGTGAAAGTGGTAGAACCGCGTAAAAAATTTTTTCTCCTCCTTTTGCCACTTTTTCCCGAAAAAACTAAAATATCACACTTACCACGGGTCTCGGCGCAAGATACGAATTCTACGGGGTGCCTGATAAGGGAATTTTCGAATAAAATTCTGAGATAAAATTCCACGTGCATCGGTAGCCTCACTTTTACGTGCAGCCGCGCGAACTTGGCGAGAAGCGAGGATCTCGGGCAGCCGGAAGCTGGGCGAAACTCTACCTTTCCAGTTTCCATTAGAGCCAAACAGATTTTACAAAGTCTATTCGACTATCGTGTGTTTTTCATTATTTTTATTTTCTCCCACCTACGTGTTCATACACGAAGTATGTATCAGGCTTTAAAACGAAACTACCTACCGTCGCGCATGCGCACAAGGCAGATCGATTACCCATAAAGCACTCGAACGTATTCGAATACGAGCCTCGTTATTTCAAAGGAAATAAATACATTTTCACGTAGTGCAAATCCAATGGACGCAATCGTGTTATCATTTTTGAATCGGAATTTCCCGTCGCTTACGCAACCAGTGTAATTTCGCTTTGGTCAGACAAAACAACATTGGATTTTTCTACTGACAGCTACCATTAACGTATTCACTGACCGTAGGCGTTATCATTCCCTGACACGTCCGTTACTTCGCCTGTCAGGCTGTATTACATTTATTTGTAATAATAGTCCCCTCCACCCCTTACCTATAAACAGATACATTTTTACATAAGTAAAATCCAATTTTCACCATACATTCGTCTCTTACTGTAGTTTCACTTCAGGCTCTATTTTCTTGTTGATATTTTTTTTATCCTCTCTCACATTCAATATCACGTGGGACACTCGTTCTCAAAGTTTGCCATAAACCAAAGACAAATCCTGCCAAGTAGTACGAACGTTTAATTGAAAAGATAAATAATAAATAAAATTGATTTTCTCCCCAAACTGTTGGTCTTGTCGAGATCGATTCGTCTCTCATATCCTAAGGATATTAATTTACCATGGTTCTTAGCTCGGATGACATGCAGGTGTACAAGGCTCAGTAAAATATCGATCCCCGGCGTTACCGAGGCGCCTGTACTGGATGTACTGGATGTACTGGATGTACTGGAGTCGCTTTTGAAACAGGGAAGCTCTCCTGCCGGCAACAAAGGGAGGAGGTGACTGTCGCGTGTTCACTGCAGAAGATTATCCGTACGGATTACGTTGTAATTTACGATAGGCTGCACGATGAGCCAAAAACAAAAAAAAATGAAATAAGATTCCGCGATACCAAATGCACTTGTTAAGTGCATGTTCTCTTTTTATGGAAGCTCAGGGTTTCCCACACACGGAGAGAAGGTTCTGGTACAAAGTACCGACTACCTAGTAGAAAGTACCATGAAATTCTCGTACATGGAAACTGTAGCGACATTCTGGCAAATATTATTCTAAAAGAAAAGAAATTTTACTAGATAATATAGTAATTTTTGTTATCACAGATGTCGCCATGACTTTTAATAGTTTTTATATGAAAACTTATACCTTTTACTATAAAGTATGGTAAGCGGTGTGGCTGTTGCCGTGAATTGCCCTATTGTAGCGATAAGTATTGACATTTGGAAATTATAACCTGTTAACCTCAATCGTATACGAAACACGCCGTTAATTACTATTTCAGTGAAAACATTTGTTTGAAATGGGATATTATACTTGTTTCCTCTCGAATAGTAATTAGCTCATAAAATACTTCATTATTTGTCTACATTGTCTACGGGAAGGAAGAAAAAATTATGTTACGGAAAAATTACTATTTTGGTTCGATAAAAGTTCCTATGGTACCTGTAAGACTTCCGATATGTCCGCTGGTGGCGCTGCTGTACCATGCTCCCTTGGTAGATTTTACTTTCATGGCTTAGCAACCTCTACCAGATCCTTCTCTCCGTGTATATACATACAGTATAGGAAAAATGCTCCGAACGCATCAGAGCATTCGTGAAGTTGGCTACTTTGGTGTAATCCCTGGTCAGAAGATGCTGCGTCATAGAGATCGCACCTTCACCCTCAGGCTCACTCGCTATTCTCAACCCTCGCCCCTAGAACAATAGTAGCAATGAGAAAAGCCCCTAACAACGAAATTACCGGATTACTGAGGTGGGTCGCGTATATCTTCTACCCTCTGCGTACTATATACGTATACAGTAATACATGTAAAAAGAAGGCAATCGCATGCCGACCAGTAGGAAAATGGTTTCTGGGGTCCGTCTGCTTAATAGAGACATGTAGATAGAACGCGTGTCTACTGGACAGATGTGCGTTAGCTTGAATGTACTGTATGCACGCTATACTATCCTCGATTTTTTCCCTACTAATCGCAATCGCACTTACCCATAGCGGCACCGTACCGTTGCCGTTCTGTGTTTGAATATGCGCGCCAAAAGTGATTTGAATTTCCCGCGATCAAACGAATATTCGTAGAACGGCTAACGTAACGAGCTTATCTGGCCTTACGGCAAATGCGTTTACACGTGTTACCGGCTCTGATGGCTTTAGTAGATATTTTTTTCTTTTTTCTTTTTTTTTTCTTTTTTTCTTTTTTTATTCTAGCCAGACTAGCTCGGCCATGTAACGAGGGGACTAAGTATCGAGCGCGAGTGTTATTCAACTTTCATATTGAACCGTGCGAATGTATTATACGTGACACGGTTCTTGAGTAACGCACGTAGTGTATATCTATATTTTTTGTCCAGGTATAGTATTAAGTATATATGGTTGTATACATGTATATATGGATATGGGTACACAGGTGCTGCGTGGAGTCGAAAAGCAATTTATATTGTCGGTCGGATGTCCATGTTGCAACGGTAGGTGAGGCTGCTAATGAAAATTGCAATATCTTAATTGAAAGCGCGTTTAAATCGAGGCAGAGACGGTGTAATTGAAAAAAAAAAAAAAAAAAAGATTAACATTCATCGAGTATATTTTCGGTGCTTTTGGAATACCTTCTTTATGTGTACATACGTGATTGTATATTTTAATTATGATATTTGATATGCAAATTGAAACTGTTTTCTCTAAATTTGTAACTTGAAAAAAAAATACTAATCTGATTATCAAATTATATAAGACCCGAAAGGATTGGGACGAAAGTTTTCTGGTCGAATTTTTTCAAAAGCTGCAGTCGCTTCTAGATTCATGCAAATTAGTCCTTGGATAAGGCAATTCTTATCTCGCGTCATGTATTGTCCATGGAGAGTGGTGGGGTCGGATCGTGTGGAAATTGAAGGTGGCGTCGCAACGCTTCGCCCCCTGCCTTCTGAGCATTGTCCTGTAATTTCTGAAGAATCCTGAGGTACCGCGTGCTAGGGGTTGACCTGGCACCGGGTACCTCAGCCAAATAATCCAGTAGTTCTACGGCATCTCGTGTCCCGGGTGTCCTGAGAGAGTCTTGCTCATACC